TTTTTTTTTTTTTTTTTTTGTCTTTTACAGTTACTGCTCCGGCTGGATTCCCTGATCACCCACACCGAGGTTTCATTTATATATAATCGCAATTTTAATCATGTATGTTTCAATATCCTAACTCTTCCGTCACTCTTCGGATTGCGTTTCTTGAGTTTCGTCCCTTATGTTCGTAAATATGTTACAGAAAATGTCATTTTCATACTTAAGAGACGAAATTGAAATTTTTTTTGTTCAATTTCTTTTTACAAAACATAAAGGACACGATTGGTTGCGAAAATGACATTTTTGTAACTTTTCTGCGAACATAAGAGACAGAAAATCAAAAACACAATTTTAAAAGGACGAAAAAGTTAGGTAGTGAAACGTACGTAACTAAAATTACAATTTACTCGATTGGTATTACAGTTTTTTTTTTACTAGATTTGAAATGTTTTTGAGTTTTTGGTAATTAATCTGTATCAATTTAATTTACTTACAGGCTTCGAGACCGTTACCTACATGCTGCAGGTAATTTAATTTACTTACGCATCGCACATTTTTTTTTTATTACTAATTAATGAAAAATCCATGATTGTTTGAAGAAACTAAATAATTAGTCAAACGATTTTTTTTTTTTTTTTTTTTTTACTTTTAATTTTTTAATTTTAATTTTATTTTTTTTTTGCTTTTTCGACCCCCTTTTTCCCATTTACCTGTCTACATGCGTTTGAATGTAGATTAGTATTGGACTTTGTGGCTAATTTTTTTTTAATCATCTTATACACTTTATGGTAATCACATGGGCTTCAGTGGATATAAATATATTGACATTTAATTTATTATTTTTTGTTAATTATGGTTAATTATGATTAAGTTTAAAAAAATTGGTTTAGTTAGTTTTTAATGGAATTTTAGATTCACATTAAAAAAATATAATTTGAATCGGAGTCGATGTATATAAGTTGGATATAAATGGTTGAAATTAATAGACAGCTAAAGTTATGTGAGTCGATTAATAGTAAATTATAGTTGATTTGACAAATAAGGATGCTTGATTAATATTATTTAATTATATTGATAATATAATAATAATATGATTGAATTAATGTTGATTTAGAGATTAGATTTGAGCGTGAATATTCGATTTGAGTTGGAATAATATTCAATCTTATATATTTGATTAATTATAGCCGGTGTATAAAAATTGTAATTAATTAGGGAGGACAAAGAAGAACAATGATAATAAAGCGTGTATATTTATATAAGGAAATGTTAAGGTTCCGTTACAGAACTATTTCATCGAGGTTTGTTCGTTAGTTCATCATGTAACCGTCAGAGATAATTGATCAAACGATCACAAATACCTACAAAATGGTTCCATAACGGAACGTAACATCTTTAATTCATTTATCGATGTTTATTTTAGCGCAATATAGAGACCAAACACAACTTATTTGTGTATGTTACGCAAAAATTATATAATATATCCTTAAGTTGTAGCAAAAAATGATGTAATCGTGTGCTCACTAAAAAGGCGGGAAGAATACGTTTGTATATACATAAAACATTATAAACAACTTATCAAAATAGTCTTGTTGGTTTGCATTTTTAGTTCAAAGATTTCTAATTTTTTGTTTTTTTTTTTTATCCTGTAATTTAGTATTTTGTTATAATTTTAATTTCAAAAGACTGAAATTGCGACAAAATTTTAAAAATTACAGGACTCAAATTGCAAATCAAAAATTCTTCCCAAAGATTTTTATTAGCAATCTAAGTTCTATAATTGAAATTTTTGTTGCAATCTTAATCCTCAAGGACTGAAATTGCGTTAAATTTTTAAATCACATGACAAGATAACAAAATGTTCAGATCTTAGGACTAAAAACGACACTGAATCAAACCAACATGACTGAACAGTAATGCTAAGGAGCCAACAGTTGGCTCCGTTATGGAGCCAACAACCAATTGGACAACTCTATGTGGGGCTGAAATCGTAATTTTGCCTATAAGTTGTGACATAATTAATCTGTTATCACAAAAGGCCCATAAATATCTGGCTGATTGATTAGATTTTTAACAAAGAAGATTATTAATTGTTACAATTTATTTTTATTAATTGTTTTATTTTTTTAATTGATTATTATTAATTAGGGAGGTGTGACACACGAAGACTTTGAAGGGCACAAAGGCACCATAGAAGCGGGTGATTTGCAATGGATGACCGCCGGGCGAGGGATTGTCCACTCAGAAATGCCAGCTTCTGAAGGCACTCAAAAGGGCTTACAATTGTGGATAAACCTCTCTTCCCAATACAAAATGTTAGTAGTAGTTAGTCTCAGTGCCTCTCCCCACTATTGCACCCAACTCACCACCACACTCTCTACACACATTTAATATTTTTATTAATTAATCACACCTCAAACTAGTACTTTAGTCCCATGGTTGATGGTGGAGGCTAATTTGCCGTTTGATGCCAGAGATTGTGGGATCGAACCTAACTATTGTGGAGGTGTCGGGATGGTGCACTCTGCACCTCCTGGTGGATTATATTAGTCACACGCCCTGTTGAGTGGATACCTCATGCCAGTAGGTTTGAGGTCCCGTTTGTCCGCTGGACAGGGGCTGACAATTTGTGGTGAGGCCGCTGAATGAATATGAGATACCCCCAATCGAGAAAAAAAAAAAAAAAATTCAAAATCAAAATGGCCTTTCCCCTTTTAATGCTTCTTGCATAATGTAAAATCCAAAGTTGACCTTTTTCATTTTTTATTCATTTTTTTATTTGGGATAGTGTGACTTTGAGGGGCATAATTTAAAAACAAGACTAAAAATAAATAAAGTCAAAAGTGACTTATTTTATCCATGCAAAGATGCATCTTTAGTCCTGTTAATTTAATACCATAATAATTTTAGTTTCAAGGTTCTAACTTTTTTTTTTTTCCTATAATTTAATATTTTGCTGCAATTTCAACTGTAACAAAATTTTAAACAACATGACTGAAATTGCAACAAAATTTTCAATTATAGGACTCAAATTGCTAATAAAAAATCTATAAATTTGTTGCAAATTTCCGCCATGAAGGACTGAAATTGCAGTAAAATATAAATCACATGACCGAGAAGCAAAAAGTCAGAACCTTTGTACTAAAACTGTCATGGCGTGAAACCTGCAAGACCGAAAAAAGCAATTTCGCTTTTTGTTCACCATATTCATTCACCATGCATATATCATTGAAATTTGTTGTTGGCTAATGTGCAGGATTGAGCCAAGATATCAAGAAATGTGCAGTAAGGATATTGGTAGGGCCAAAAGGGATGGTGTGAAAGTGAAAGTTATTGCAGGGGAGGCCCTCGGAGTACAGTCTCCTATATTTACCCGAACGCCCACAATGTTTCTTGATTTTACTCTAAAGCCCGGGGCCATGATCCAACAGCCCATACTATCATCGTGGAATGCGTTCGTGTACGTGTTAGAGGGAGAGGGCAAATTCGGTAGTTCGCGCTCTTCGCCCGTGTCGGCCCATCACATCCTTCTTCTTGGGCCCGGCGATGGGCTTGAGGCCTGGAACAAGTCCTCCAAATCTCTGAGGTTTGTTCTGATCGGAGGCGAGCCGTTGGGGGAGCCCATTGTGCAGTATGGGCCTTTTGTCATGAACACTCAACAGCAAATTGATCAAACTATTGAAGATTACGAAAATTTCACTAATGGGTTTGAGAAAGCAAGATATTGGAAATCCGAGTCTGCGGCTGCTGTTTTTGATTATTGATTTTAATTTTTTTTGTTCAAATAAAGTTTCGAATTAGAAAAAAAAAAATAAGTAGTGATAATTCAATTTGTGTCTTAGTTAAATGCAGTTTTTCACTAGCATTTTTTTTT